AACCTTCACAAATATGGACTAAAAGGGAAATTAGTAAGAACGTAAATATACATTTAAAAACTATGTTTCGGTGAAAAAAGTTCCACCATCTTCAGGAGAGAGAACAATAGTCTTGCATCATATTTTACATTTTCGCTGATCGTTGGACAACAAAGGCCAACTACGTGTAAAAGCCACATGGAGGGCCAGCCCGCTGTTCTGAAGACAGCTGGGGGAAAATTCCAACAAAAGCAAATACCGCTACGTGCACAACGAGGAGAGTTCTGCGCTACGAAAATTTCGTCCTACCCCGAAAGAGGAGGAATTTGACGGGAACGAACAATTGTCGTCTGTCATGTTGGTATTTATAGTCCTAACTCTCCTACTCACGACTGTCTTCCAGAAGGAGAAAAATAAAAGAAATGTCATTTTTACATATTTGTTCAAGAACACACGTGTTATTTTTATACAAACACTAGTTATTTTCAGATATATCTCATTTCATCGTAACAATCCACGGCTAATTCCAGCAAAGTTCTGTTAAAAATTGTTTATAATTCCACCGAGTGAAAAAATGTTAGAACTGTTGGTGAATTAAGCTAACTAATAAAACCTTTGGACGAAAATCGTAATTTTATGTCCATAATAAGAAAACCAACCCTTCAAAATAAATCACCCACGTAAAACAAACAGACGGTCCTTTCTAATTTCTTATGCCTGAAACTCTTTACAGGCTAGTGGGGGTCCGTCCACATATTAAGTAAAGCGGAAAGAACTAGCCAAACAAATTAAGGGAAATCGCCATTTTTCTATGTAAAATATGTTGCAAACCCCCCCACCAGTTTATTAAAGGTGTGACATGCAATATTGTTGCTATTTATTTTTGCGAGTCTCATATTTCATTAGGGATCCCGTAACAAAGTCTTGGACGCACAAGCAATTGGGTGTAACAATTGTTTAGAGAAATGGGGCCGCATCCCCAGTGGTGTTTCTAGAATTAAAGTCGACGTGGAAATAAATCATTATTCTTTTTTTTTTAATACGGTTCTAAGTATACGATAAGCAGCCTGAAAAATGCAGAACGGTGTTTCGGGTTTTTATGATGGCGAATACGCATGCGTGCTTTCACGCTACTAAAGAAACACATGTCTGTTAATGTTTTTATAGTTTATATCAGTTTACACCAGATGGAGCATAGATAACACGCCAAAACGTTAATGTCACTCACTGTTTTTGTACTAAACTTAATGAAGTTTAACATAAAACGTTTAAGAATAAAATAAAAAGGCACAGAAGATGCACTTAATTCAGACCGAGGAAAAGCGTACAGTCGACGCCACTGACCGTTAGACATTGAGAAATAACTAGCCGTAGTATATTACTCACTGCTTGAACGTATTCAGCAAACAGCAACGGGGGGGGTTTCACCCCAATTAATGATGTCTGTTTCACGTATAAAATCAACGCTAGTTGGTAACCCTGAAAACCAAACTTGGCAACTTATCCAGGCTTCTTACTCCAAAACTCAGTTGAGGATAAACGGTGGTTATGTGGTTGAATCTATACTGTCACTAAAACCGCTTTTGTTACATACGGGTTCTTACTCCTTTTGGATAAATAGTAAATGGCCGGTAGGCATCCTACTATGTAGATATTTGCAGGAATTAATTCATAACCGAAGAACAGTTACGGATTTAAAACAAAGTCAGTTTCTTTCTAACTCCAAAAGCCACCGCAAGATGGAAAAAAAATACTCTACTTTAACTATACAAGAACTTAACTAAAAGAGTATTTTTGGAATTATATGGACAATTCTATCGGTTTACATATGCTAAAAGAGTATTTTTGGAATTATATGGCAATTCTATCGGTTTACATGTGCTAAAAGAGTATTTTTGGAATTATATGACAATTCTATCGGTTACATGTGCTAAAAGAGTATTTTGGAATTATGTGGCAATTCTATCGGATTACATATGCTAAAAGAGTATTTTTGGAATTATGTGGCAATTCTATCGGATTACATATGCTAAAAGAGT